GCAACTTCTTTCCAGATATGTCTCCTGGGGCAAGAGAAACAAAAGAAAAAGAAACTATTGCAACTACATCAAACAAAACAAAACAAAACAAAACCCTTCTGCACAGTGAAGGAGACAATGAACAAAACTAAAAGACAACCTACAGAGTGGGGGAAGATATTTGCAAATGACATATCTGATGAAGGGTTAGTATCCAAAATATACGAAGAATTTATAGGGGCACCTGGGTGGCTCAGTCAGTTATGTCTCAAACTCTTGATTTCAGCTCAGGTCATGATCTCACGGTTCATGGGTTTGAGGCATGCGTTGGGCTCTGCGCTGATGGTGTGAACCCTGCTTGAGATTCATTCTCTCCCTGTCATTCTGCCCTTCCTCTGCTCTCTCTCCTCTCTCAAAATGAAAAAATAAACTTAAAAAAACCCCAAGTCTACCCATAAAAAAAAGAAATCATCACTTCTAAAAAAATAATAATTTCTAAAACTCAACACCCCAAAAATGAATAATGTCATTTAAAAATGGGCAGGAGACACGAATAGACCCTTCTCCAAAGAAGCCATCCAGATGGCAAACAGACATGAAAAGATGCTCAACATCATTCATCATCAGGAAAATGCAAATCCAAACCACAGTGAGATTCCACCTCACATCAGTCAGAATGGCTAACATCAACAATGTAGAAACAACAGGTGCTGGCGAGGATGTGGAGAAAGGGGAACACTTGTGCTCTGTTGGTGGGAATGCAAACTGGTGTGGAGAACAGTGTGGAGGTTCCTCAAAAAGTTAAAAATAGAACTACCTGGGGGGCATCTGGGTGGCTCAGTTGGTTAAGCATCTGACTTTGGCTCAGGCCATGACGAGGTTTGTGAATTCGTGCCTCGCATCAGGGTCCATGCTGACAGTATGGAGCCTGCTTGGGATTCTCTCTCTCTCCCCCTCTCTCTCTGCTCCTCCCACATGTTCTCTCTTTCTCTCTCTCTCAAAATAAGTTAATAAACTTAAAAAAAATAGAACTATCCTGGGTGCCTGAGTGGCTCAGTTGGCTAAGCGTCCAACTTCAGCTCAGGTCATGATCTCATGGTTCACTGCCGTCGGCACAGAGCCTGCTTCAGATCCTCTGTCCCACTCTGTCTCTGCCCCCACCCCACTTTCTCCCTCTCAAAAATAAACATTAAAAAAAATAGAACTACTTTTTGATCCAGCAATTGCACTACCAGGAATTTACTCGAAGAATATAAAACTACTAATTCAAAGGGATACATACACCCCAATGTGTTTTTTTAACCCTAGAAGTATCATGGCCTAGCACCCCAATGTTTCAGCAACATTATATACAATAGCCAAATTATGGAAACAGCCCAAGTGTCCATTGATTGATGAATGGGTAAACAAGATGTGGTATATATATATATATATATATATATATATATATATATATGTATATATATATATATATGATGGAATATTACTCAGGCATAAAAATGAATGAAATCTTGCCATTTGCAATGACATGAATGGAGCTAGAGAGTATTATGCTAAGTGAAATAAGTCAGCCAGAGAAAGACAGATACCATAGGATCTTACTCATATGTGGAATTTAAGAAACAAATGAGCAAAGAGGAAAAAAAGGGAAAGAGAGAGAGGCAAACCAAGAAACAGAGTTAACTATAGAGAACAAACTGCTGGTCACCAGAGGGGAGGCGGGTGGGGGATGGGTGAACTAGGTGATGGGGACTCAGGATGCCCCTGTCGTTATGATGCACCGCGTGACGTAGGGAAGTGTTGAATCACTACATTGTACACCTGAAACTAAGATAACATTGTTCGTTAACTAAGTAGTATTAAAATAAGAACTTTAAAAAAATGAAGCCCATTTTGTCTAATGTTACAATAGCCACTCCAGCTTTCTGTGGTTACTATATGCAAGATACATCTTTTTCCATTATTTTAACTTTCAATCTATGTCTATCTTTGAATCTAAAGGGAGTCTCTTGTGACAGCATAATATTGGACCTTGCTTTTTAACATCTAACTTGACAAGATCTTTATTGCCTTTATTTACTGGATTGTTTAACCCATTCGCATTTAATGTTATTGGCATGGTTGGATTTATGTCTAACATCTTACTTTTTGCTTCATACGTGTCTCACGTCTTCTTTGTTCCATTATTACTCCTTCAATGTTTTCTTTTGCGTTGAGTAAATGTTTCTAATGTAACAGTTAATTTCTTTACTGATGTTCTTTGTACAGTTTTGAGTTATTTCCTTAATGGTTGCTCTGGGGCTTACCATATGCATCTAGTCAGAATCGACTTCAGATTTATTGTTTTTATTTTATTTTTGAGACAGAGAGAGACAGAGCATGAGCGGGGGAGGGGCAGAAAGAGAGGGAGACACAGAATCCGAAGCAGGCTCCAGGCTCTGAGCTGTCAGCACAGAGCCCGACGTGGGGCCTGAACTCACAGACCGCGAGATCATGACCCGAGCTGAAGTCGGACGCTCACCCGACTGAGCCACCCAGGCACCCCCGACTTCAGATTTATAATAATTCCAGTGAGATAAAGAAATGTTCCTCCTGTATAGCTCTATTCCCTATCTCATCTTCCTGTGGTATAAGTTAAATACGTGTTATTTCTGTAAACCTCACAGAGCCAACAACATTTTGTTGTTATTATTATCGCCTTATAAAATGTTGTGTATATTAAGGCCTAAGTAAGAAGAGAGAGTGATCAGCGTGCCTGAGTGGCTCAGTCAGTTGAGCATCTGACTCACTTTTGGCTCAGGTCACGATCCCACGGTTGGGGAATGAGCCCGGCCTCGGGCTTCACGTTGAGCATGGAGTCTGCTTAAGATTCTCTCTGTCGTCCCTCTGTCCTCTCCTCTGCTCACTCTTTCTCCCTAAAAAAAGAGAGAAAGAGTGATCATACATTTCGTTATATTAGGCTTTTTATTTCATCTCTGATTATCTTCATTCTATTCTGAATGAAACATGTTCTATTCTATGGAAACGTGTCCTGACCGCAACACGGCTTTGCTGTGACTCTTCCCTTTTGTGCTGTTGTTGCAAATTTCTATTACATCTCTGTATGTTGTCGTGTTAACGATACATCATACACCTATGTTTATATACTCGCTTTTTAAATTAGTTAAGAAGAGAAAGTAAATATGCATTCATATGATCATAATTATGTGATTGTCTTTACTATGCTTTTTGTTCTGGTGTGTATGCAGATTTGAATTATCATTACTTGTTTTCAAGACTTCCTTTAGTGTCTCTTATAAGGCGATACACTGGCAACACATTCTCTCAGCTTTTGTTCATTTGGGAAAGTCTTTCTTTCACCTTCATCTAAAGATAGAGGAATCCTGTTAGCATTTTTCTCTTTGAGCCACTTGTAAAGTATACTCCTTCTGACTTCCACTGCTTCTGCTTCTGGAAGACGTCAGCAGTCAATCTTACCGGGGTTCACTTGTAACTGACGAGTTTTTTTTTTGTGCTTTCAAGATTTCCTCCTTGTCCTTAGCTTTCAGCACTTTTAGTATGATGTGTCTATTGTGGGACTCTGTATTTATCCCACTTAGAGTTTATTGAATTCCCGTTTGGGAGGTTTCAGCCGTTCCTTCTTTGAATATTCTTTCTGCTTCTTTCTCTTTTGTCCTTCTATTTCCATTACATGTATGCTGGCGCCCTGAATATTGTCCTACCCATTTTCCAAGGCTGTATTCGTATTTCTTAATAATTATTTCCCTGTTCTTTAGATTGCATAATCAGTATTCGTCTGCCTTGAAGTGTGCTTTTTCTGCCAGTTCTAATTTACCCTCTAGTGAATGTTTCATTTTAGTTGTTGCAGTTGTCAACTTCAGAATTCCTATTATTTATTGATTTATTGAAAATAATTTTTAATTTTTTTAGCATTTATTCATTCTGGAGAGACAGAGAGAGCAGGGGAGGGGGAGAGAGAGGGAGACACAGGAGCTGAAGCAGGCTCTAGGCTCCGAGCTGTCAGCACAGAGCCCAACATGGGGCTCGAACTCACGAATCGTGAGATCATGACCTGAATCGAAGTCGGACACTTAACTGACTGAGCCACCCAGGAACCCCTCAAAATTTCCATTTTTTAAATTATTTCTAGCTCTTTATTGGTATTTTCTCTTTCATGGCATTGTCATCATACCTTCCTTTACTTTGTAAATTATAGTTTCCTTTAGCTCTGGGAACACATTTATAATGGCCACTTTGAGATTTGGTTAGCGCCTGGTCTCATCACTCTCACAGGCAATTTCTGTCACTTGGTTTTCTCTTCTTTTCTTTCTTTTTCCTTTTCTTTCTTTCCTTTTCTTTCTTCTTCCCTTTTTTTGGTGTCTGGTTCATATTTTCCTTTGCATGTGTTTTAATTGCAATGTGTATTTGTCTGGGTTTTTTCCTGCCTTATTTTTTCATGTAGCAACATAACTTTAATATTTTCCTGTCAGTAAAAGAGTCTTCTTTGCTATGATTTTATATGGCTGTAGAATACATTACTTATGAATGAGTGCCCCAATTTTTTAAGCCCACTCTCCATATTTGGGCCTTTTCCACTTTAAGTTTTCATTAAGCAAACTTATTTTCTATTTGTATTTTTCCACAAACACAAAAACAGACGATCAGCTCTTCTGTCTCCTTCTCCAAACAGGATAGAAAATTATGGTCTTTTTTAAAAAATTTTTTTTAACATTTATTCATTTTTTGATAGAGAGTCAGAGCGTGAGCAGGGGAGGGGCAGAGAGAGAGGGAGACACAGAATCCGAAGCAGGTTCCAGGCTCTGAGCTGTCAGCACAGAGCCGGACGTGGGGCTCAAACTCACAGACTGCGAGATCATGACCTGAGCCAAAGTCGGACGCTCAACCGAGCCACCCAGGCGCCCCGAAAATTATGGTCTTAAAGTGTAACAAAGATGATAGAATTTAGACACTGAGACAACTATGTAGTTATAGAATATAAGCATTGATAGACCTGTTCAAAGGCTTGTTCAATCCTTTTTTATTCCCTTCTGGACTCTCAGACGTGGCTTTGTTTCTCAGAGGGGATGCTGACGACATTCTTGGGGGGGCCATGCTTTCCACGTTCCACGGTGTTTCGTGGCCCTGTCCCTCCCATTGAAGTCAGCACTGCTTCCCAGCTATCGTGACCACAAAATCCCCCTTTCCCTTTGACCAAACGTCATTGAAAGTCACTGGGCTATCTGCTGTAACAGTGTACTTTCGGTCTTGATGGTGGGTGAGGGGATGGAGAAGAGACACCTGCCCAGGGCGGCAGCCTAGTGTGCTGAAACACCGTGACTTCAGGCCCGCTGGGGTGGCACCGAGGCAGGGCTCACGTGCTCAATCCGCAAACAAGCTTATGAGATAGGTGTCCCTCCAACACGGCGTGTGTGAGGAGACCGAGGCTCCGAGGCAGGGAAAGTGACCGAAGTTCCACAGCTGGTGAGTCACCGAATCGCAGTCTGATCTCTACCAGCCCCGTGGACCGGGGTCAACGGCCAGTCCCTCTGTGGTGTCAGGCGGAGGTCCTGCGTCCCCAGCACAGTGTCGATTCAACAGGAGGTACCCAGGACTTGTTGCTAATGTGCTTCTTGTTCCAAGAGGTTGTTACGCGGATGTTCATAATTGCTCACATTCATATGTATGTTATGCTTCAAAGTGAAAAAAAAAACCAGAACAGAAAAAGGGGAGTGTTTATGTCGAACAACTTTTTAAAGGTCTGATCATAAGTAGACAAGAGAGAAAGGAATCAAAGCATCAAAACCATGATAAGATCAAAGCCTAGAAAACCAAGTTCTGAAGGAGTAAAACTTGCATACTTAGGAGGATTGGGGAAGCATTTGCTTCTCATCTGCAGTTGATTTCTTTATTTGTGGGGCACGGATAATAATGTTCTTCATGAGCCAAATTATCCTTATTTATTTATTTATTTATTTAATGTTTATTTATTTTGTGAGAGAGAGCAAGTGTGAGTGGGGGAGGGGCAGAGAGAGAAGGAAAGAGAATCCTAAGCAGACTCCGCGCTGACAGCACAGAGCCCGAGGCGGGGCTCGAACTCACGAACTGTGAGATTATGACCTGAGCCGAAGTCAGATGTTCAACCGCCCCGGGGGGCCCCTAAATTATCCTCTTTGAAAACATTTATTTTCTCAACTTCCGAATGTGTCCGCTCAGCACTTCTTCTCATTCTTCCCTTCCCTGATTTTTCTTACCGTTCCACAACCGAGAGCGAGCGTGTGGTGATTTGTTCCCTGCGCCTCTGGAAATACCTGTCCGGCAAGTGGCTCCCTGAGACCCCATCCTCCTCGAGGCCACATGTGACCCTGCGGCCTGAGGGGAGATCTGAGACCCGAGGGGAAGAAGGCCGGCTTCACGGAGCGCAGAGCGCGTGTCCCCATCCTGACGCGCTGGCTTTCCCTCTGCAGCCCGTCTACCGTCCAGGGGCTGCTTCGCGTCTGTCCGGACGGACGTGTGATGCACGAACCATCCTCAGCTCTTCCTGTCCGGCTCTCGCTGCCGCCCTTTCCTGGCACCCTGGGCCTTCGCGAGGCCTCTCATTTCATCCTTAAAGTCCTGGCCCTCTGGCAGCAGCGGTCCTGTGAGCGTCTTGGCCGATGCTGACCAAGGACGCGGCCCCGAAGTAATAGAACTTCGAGAACCACAGATAGAGTCAATGCTTGCACCGGATCAGGGCCTTTTCTTCACTGAAAATAAAAGGAAGTTTAGCCTCCGTTTTTCCAGGCTCCTCTGCAAATGGAGATCAGTTGTACCTGCCCAACAGGGTGTCTCTAGGCTGAATTGATACTTACGTGTCTGAAAGCCTTGTGTTGTATTTCTGCACGGAGGGAACTTAGGAAGGGATTAAAAAATGGTGCCTGGGCGGCTCAGTGGTTAAGCGTCCGACTTTGGTTCGGGTCATGATCTCACGGTTCATGGATTCAAGCCCCACGTCGGGCTCTGTGCTGACAGCGCGAGCCTGGAGCTGCTTAGGATTCTGTGTCTCCCTCTCTGCCCCTCCCCCACTGTCACTCTGTCTCTCTGTCTCTGTCTCTCTCTGTCTCAAAAATAAATAAACAGTAAAAAAATTTTTAATAAAAAAAAGGAAGATACTAAAGATAAGGTAGGTGGGAAACCGACCCTGCCCAGGGATAATCATACGGAAACTTCCTCTCTTTAAGGCAGAAAACTGGCTTTTAAGTAACTAATTATTCTCTGACAAGGCATAACAATTTCCCCACCAAGAAAGCAGTGTCCTTGCTCACCTGGGTGAGCTCATTTTCTCACGCACTTTCGTTGTTATACTACAGCTTTACTCTTCAGGACAACTCAGTTCACTTTTGCCAACCATCACACCTGCAGTGAAACCCGGTGCTCTGGTAGCTTTAGAGCTGACTGGTAACTAATGAACATCTTTTCTGGGGAGTATGGGTTGGACTACATTTACTGCTAGCCACTGAGCTGCCGTCGGAAGACAATTCTACTCTCGACAGGTGTCCACTTTTTTACTTTCTTTTTAAAACCAGGAAGGATGGGGCGCCTGGGTGGCTCGGTTGGTTAAGAGGCCGACTTCAGCTCAGGTCAGGATCTCACGGTCCGTGAGTTCGAGCCCCGCGTCAGGCTCTGTGCTGACGGCTCAGAGCCTGGAGCCTGTTTCGGATTCTGTGTCTCCCTCTCTCTGACCCTCCCCCGTTCATGCTCCGTCTCTCTCTGTCTCAAAAATAAATAAACGTTAAAAAAAAAAAAATTTAAACCAGGAAGGAGCTTGGGGTCCCTGGGTGGCTCGGTCGGTTGGGCGCCGGACTTCGGCTCAGGTCATGATCTCACGGTTCGTGGGTTCGAGCCCCACGTCGGGCTCTGTGCTGACAGCTCAGAGCCTGGAGCCTGCTTCTCGTTCTGTGTCTCCCTCTCTCTCTCTGCTCCTTCTCAGCTCACACTCTGTGTCTCTCTCAAAAATAAATAAACATTAAAAAAAAAAAAACAGGAAGGAGCTTGAGACTGTTGGGGAACCACTCAGAACCCCGGAATTAGTCTGAAGATGACTTAAAATTTTTTTAATGTTTATTTTTGAGATACAGAGAGACCGAGTGTGAGCAGGGGAGGGACAGAGAGAGGGAGACAGAGAATCCGAAGCAGGCTCCAGGCTCTGAGCTGTCAGCACAGAGTCCCATGCGGGGCTCGAACTCACAAACCGTGAGATTACGACCTGAGCACCCAGGCTCCCCCAGTATGAAGATTATTTTAAACTCAAGACCTTTGATCTAATGGATATAGAAAGAAGCCTCCTCAAAGCTTGCCTTACCTGACAAAAAGCAGCAACTTCTGGGAAAATGAATCCCCCCCCCCTGGGGCGGGGGGTGGACTACTAATCCCAGCAGAGAGATCAGGGGTAAACCTACGGAAAATCCTGTCTGGGAGAGTCTCGTGGCATGGCCATGAAGAAGACAGAAAGACCACTCACACCTGCATAGATGAACATTATCTCAGACTTCTTATCTCCTGTTTGTTTTCCTAAAAATGATTTGTCTTTCCTAAAGAAACCTGTTTGCTCTTCCCACTGGAGGCCTTCCTCCCCTCCCTTTCCTACTAAGTCGGGCACACC